GTCTGAAGTCAGGCTAAAGGCAGGGCAGGATGGCACCTTAAAGACTAACTCATTCAGAGAAGCATAAGCTTTTGTGGCAACAGCCTACTTTTCTTTCATCAGAATCATTAACAGCCATTGTCTGACTTTTATGTACTATAATGTAATGATGTGAAGAGAAGAATAACAAAGCCTAATTAAAAAGTGATTTGTGATTTAGAAAAATGAAACAACAATTATTTTGTACCTACATTAATGTGTGTGTAGTCACTTATAAAATGAATACTTATTCTGGTTTTACAGTGAGAATGTGTAAGTGGCTAAAGGCTTGAGACTTACAACTATTGGCAACTATGCTAACAGCCCTGTACTAGATCTTAATAAAAACGGTGTTAAATTCTACATCCTCAGACTACACTGACTTGATGTCCACTGACTGATGTTCTTGCCTGTGCTAAAACTGACACATCTGATTCCTTCATGACTAAGATTATCATAAAACATGACATTACTACTATGCAGTGAGATTATATGGCCTTCTGTAAGACACCTTACTTTCAAAAGTGTCTATAAAGACACACTGGCCTTCTCATCTATGTTAAGAGTGACAAAAATATAAGACTTCTTTAACCATGAGTTTTCTGCTGTGTAAGGGACTTTACAATATACACCCACTGCTTGACATTTACTCCACAAGACAGAAAAAAAATGCTTAGAGGAATGGCTAGCAGAAGACAAAGTGTTTTCAGAGAGGAAAAATTGTGCAAAAGCAAAAGCATCTCTTTGGGATTTGTTTCCATATTCACATAACAGAACTTTACTCTTTCAGCCATAATTAACCTTCTTCGGCTCCTCTGTAAAGTCTCTAGCAAAACACCAGAATCACCTTCTCTTCTGCTTCCCCCGACCCCTGAGGCCAATGACTGTAACTCCATAGTTCTAGGAGGAAAATGGACATATTCTAAGCCAACCTGTTTTGGCGAGTGGTCAGGAAACTGCTCTTCCACTCAAAATCAATAGTTTAGAGCAGTGGTTTCCAAGCTTTATTCATCTGAGGACCTCTAAAAATTTTTAATGGTGGCACAGACCCCTTTAAATTGTAAGTGTCAGTATTCACATACTTTTCATTGATCATAATCATCTTTCATGGACCCCTTAGATAGAGTCTGCAGACACCCAGGCACCCATGGACCACAGGTTAAAAGCCACTGGTTTAGAGAGATAGAAAAGGGATGTTCTCATCCCAACTTTTGATGGGGAGTCCACCCAGCAGGTTTATGAAAGGTCTTTTTTTCACCCCCTCCCTAGGTGGTGAGGAATTTCAGAAACACCTGCTTCTCCAAAGTTGCTTGATTTAGAAGCCAAATTTTCAGCCCACTTTACCTTTTCATTAATCCCTCCTGCTTACCAAATATTGGCCTTCCTGGAACAGACTTGCTTTGCTTTATGGACATCATAGATACTTTTTCAGCCTACTTCTCTTATCCTATTACTTCATTTTTTCTTCAGGTCATGACTACAGGTGTCCTATTAATAGGGACCACTGTAATTCAGGCTCTGATTGGGAGAAAAGCAGGCTCCCTTGCAGGCTTGCCAGAGCCAATTTCATGCATTTTTCAGGGCCAGCTCTCCCACGCCTTTGGCTGAGGGAACCTACCATGGGGATTACTACTGAACCGTGGCACACAGGCTGTTGCTTATGGCCGCAGCCCCTAATGCAAGGGGTGCTTACCTGCTCTGTTCTGGACAGGGCTTTTAAACTCCCTGCCAAAGTGGGGAATTGAACAACCTGACTGGCTGAGCCCCAGCAGGGGCTCAGCCTGTACTAGGCTGTCCTTGGAAACAACTGGGGCTTCCACAATGTTTCTGAGGCTCTTCTGCCTTTCTTCTCCATGCTTCAGGTAAATTTTTTTAAAACTTTTTTCCTTGCCTTCCCTCTCCCCAGAAGTTTCAGGCCATTTCTGACCAGATTGCAGTTTTTGGGAGCTTTAAAGGGAAAAATTAAATTTCAGGCTTTCCTCTGAAATCCCTTGAAGCCCAAATTACAGTGGTCCCTAATTATTAGTTCCAAACACAGCATTCTGCTAGTGAGGAATTAGTGGCACATCTTTCAGAATTGGGACCAGTCTGTACTGAATTGTGATATCTTCCAAGAAGCTATTGGGATTTCTGTTAGTCAGTCTGCAAGTTCCCTTCATCCAACAGCAGCTTGGAAATAGACTATGAAGAAAAGACAGAGAGGTAATTACTCTTTTCAAGGGTAAGAAGAATTGCTCCTTATGTAAGTATTGCTGAACAACTTTACTGGATTTGCATTTGGATCTATCCTTCAGGTACTGCAAAGATTACAGTAACTGTAGTAAAATTAGGTAACATGAATCTGTGTGTTAGTTTTGAAACATTAGTGGCCATAAATGCTACAAGAAATGCCAAAGAATTCTTAAATATTTATGCAGAGTTGAATGTCAGGAAATGCTCAATATGCAAAAGAATTTTCACAGGGACACTCTAGTAACAATAAAGATGATTGGATGAAATTTTATTTTATTAAATCTAAATGTGGAAAATGTCAATGGCCAATGCTTAAAAAAAAAGTGATTAGTGTCTTAGCAATGCCAAAACAAATGAGGGGCTCTAAAAAGCTCTAAAGTTCATACAACAAGGAGTTTGAGAGTTATGAGATATTCATAAGTCACAGCCAAGTATGTTGGTGTTCTGTTCTTCCATTATGCAAACAGCAACTGCACCCTCATAGCCCAAATGAGTCATGACATCTTTTTTCCCTTAATACATGCAACCAAAAACAAGGTCTCTGTGAGAAAGCATAATGTGTTTCTACTCTCTCATCCTCCATCAATTCCACCCCACGAAACAATAACTAGCAGATCCTAGGAATTTAAAATACACTTTTTTTTAAAATGACAATCAATCATAACATCTACCAGCAACCTATATGGCTATTTTTATGAGATTTCTCCTTGGGAGGTTAGATATTTTCATTTATGCTGGTCTCCTTTCTTGACATTTCAGAGGAGGCCAACCTGTCCTCCAATATGGTAGCCTCCTACTGGGGAGCCTTCCCGGTTTTAGGTGGTTCTGGAGGTGAGAATCTCATAATGCATTGCTTCAAGTAATGCTTCCACGTTCATCCCTTTATGACTTTTTATCATAACACATTCTTATCTACATAGTATGTTCTTTAACTTCATTGTAAAGCCTGGAACAGGACACAATTGCCCAGTAAGATCGAACTGTTTGTGCTATATCAGCCAAAATAACTAGAGTCTCATAATGTAGCACCACAGTGTCATCCCTCCAAAATATCAACATCTCTGCAGGTGGTTTATTGCATCTGTGCCTCTGGCAGACTTAATCTCCATCTCTTGGTTTAACTGTTTGTTTTCCCCTTTGTAGTTCATCTTTGTATGTCATGTAAACATTTCCCCCTGTATCCTCAGGTTGTATATCCACTATTTATTTTTTGCCTTCATTACTATCTAAGCCAGAGCCAATACATTTGCAGTGATACTTTTCTTCTTCTTTTCCTTTTAAAATAAAAGAAATGCTCTAGACACTTGCCTAGTCTTGTTCAGCCAAAATATATTCATTCTTTATTTGCCTGGAAATGGCAGCTATATACATTGAATAAATTGGCTACATGGTCAACTGTGAATATTTTTGTGTTGCTCTTATTAAATGCTATGCTATGCTCCTGGAACTTGCTGGCTCTATAGCATAGGAATGCAAAGCCTTTTATCCTCAGAATAAGTACATTACAAACAATAACAGTTCAGGATTCCCCACTGCCACATCAATGGCATCTCAGACCTTATGGGGTAGTGAAGGGAGAAGGGAACTCCTTGTTGCTGGCTCCTTTACCAAGCATGTATAGCAAGAGCAATATATACTTCTAATGCACACTTCTCCGCTGTTTTCTACTGAGACCACCATCTTGTTTTACTTATACCCCCATATGATGAGGATGTCTTTTTAGTCTCTACCAGTCTGGGACATATTTGGCTGAGATTTAGAAATGAAAATTGTATTGATGTGGTTTCCTTGTAGTTGGAGGAGAGGTATTTTTTTTTATTTCATCTTAATTCCCATACCACACCCTTTGCTTTTAAGTCTTCATCTATGAATACTTCATGAGCAATGTCTTCTGGTAAGTGCAACAACTGCCTAAGCTTAAGATCTATGAGCTCCATGTCTCACTCTCATTTCCCTCTTGGTTTATATATTCAGTTTTACTCTCCCCCTCTTAATTCATTCCCACATCCATCATTTTTACCTCTTTACATTAATTGCATATGAGAGAGTGAGCACGTGCACAACTAGAGAGCAGGACAGGGAGAGGGGCTCAAAGGTTCCCTGAAAGTAAATATTTTCTGCTGTAGAAAATGCCCCTGTACAGCAGAGGCATGTCATGCACCTGCATGACACTGATGAGTACAGCTTAGGAGAAACCTAGGTACTGAGTCCCCTGCCAGATACCATTTCAGAAATTCTCACAGCAATGTTCTCCAAAGCAATTTAACTCCTTCTACACTGTGCATGCGTTTGTGTGGAGGGAAGGGGGGGCCGGGGCACAATGGGGCCTACTTTCCTGGTGTTCCCATAATGGAAATCACCTGTTTCATAACAAGTGCTCTAAACCTAAACTCTCTTCCTTTCTCTTATACTCTTCATTTACAGACAGTAAGCATGCATTTTGTTTCAATAATCTAAAACATTATTCCGATTTCAACCAAACCCAGAAAGAAAAAAGTGAAGTCTCTGTGAAAAAGTATTAACATTTCTCTCCTTTGTAACATTTTTTACTCTATCTGCCCTGCAAAACAACAGTTAATTTTGCAGTAGGAGACATCTAGGACACAGATTCAGTAAAGGGAAAACATTACTGCAGTGCTGCTATAATACAAGATATAGCACATTTTAAATACTAACACCAATAGATCCTGAAAAGTTTAAAAAACCCTGCCTAGTATACATCCAGGACTACTGAAAACACAGCTGCTTACCTGCAGTTCCTAAGCTAAGTAGCACAGCAACCCAGAATACCCAGAAGAAAATGAGAATCAGAAAGGTCCAAAATGGCTGGAACAGCAGAAAAGGGATCTTGGTAATTATTTTACTTGCAACCTGGAAGAGCTGTATAGTCAGCTGAATCCTCTTTCTTAGTACAAATATGAGGACAAGTAGAACAACCTGTAGAAAGCAAGGAAAAACAGTTCTCTATTTATTTTTTCTTTAAATTATTACAAGTTCTTCAATTTTGGGAGAGGGGTATGGGGTGTTACAGATTCCGAGAAGGCACTGCATGAGAACGTTTTTCCAAAAAGAAGTGTGCATTAAAATGTTTTTTTAAAGACACCAGGAAATCTGAATGGATTTTTAAGCCCTGAATTGGCTTTAAATCTCACTTCTGATTCGGCTAGCTGAGAATTTTGCTGTTGTTTTCAGTGGAAGCAGAATCAGGCCTTATGCTGGGAAGCACTGAAGCATTGGAAATTGATTTGTCAGTTATATGCATGCAGATACACGCACAGAAAATTGCTCCTTGTTTGAAGAAATAACTTACTTTCAATAAACTTCCTATGCCCTTGATCTTTAACAAGGAACTGTAAACAACATCTAAACAGGCACAGAGCACATCAGAAACTATAAAACAATAAACACAGACAGTGGCAGCTGCTTCACTACTTTTCTAGCTTGCACAATAAAGAAACCAGATGCTCTATTAAGAAAAGCAACCTGGAGCAGTGGATGCTTCCAGAGCATTACAAATGACAATGGATTGTACTGGATTAAATTTGCATCCAAACAAAACTTTTCCTATTATTTTATTTCCAAAGGAAAGGTTCAGAGCCCAGTGTTTGTATTGTAAAGAGAACATACAAACGTGTATTGTATGAATTGCATTTTGTTTTACAGACCCAATATTAATAGAATTGTGACTAAATTCCCATGCAACAAGCTATTGGTGAACACACAGTGGACAATGACATAGTGGGTATAAGAGGCCACTGGGCAAGACAGTGGAGATTTGGTGTGAAGTACAAACTGACACCCAGGTCTTCATCTCCTGTTCTGACCTTGGCCCTACAGTCTCAATCCTTTCCCAGTGCCTAGCTGCAGCTGGGGACTCAATGTGGGCGAGTCACTTGAAGCTGAATCCAGACAAGACATGGTTGTGGGCAGACTGCTCGACTTGGGGGGGGGGGGGGGAATTAAGACACCTGTCATTGATGGGGCAGCCTCCCCTCATCACTCAGGTTTGTAGCCTTGAGTACTCTTGGATTGTGTGCTGCACTTGGTTTTCCAGTTGGCAGCAGTGGGTAGAAGCGCCCTTCACCAGCTCCAGCTGGTCGGAAGGATGTGACCTTTTCTTTCAGATTCAGATCTGGTCACCACCATCGATGCCTGTGTAACCTTGATGCTAGGCTACTGTAATGTGCTCCATGCAAGACTGCCCTTGAAAATCATCCGGAAGCTGCAGCTGGTACAGAAAGTGGCGGCCTACCTTCTGATGTGCTTGGGTTGCCAGAAGTATATAATTCCAGTGCTCCAAAGTCTGCATTGGTTCCCAACTGCTTTATGCCCCACAGTGAATCCCAAGTTCAGCCAAAATCAATCTCCTAGCGAGTACTATCAGTGTACTGGGTCCACTTGGCAAAAACCTGTGGGAGGTCATTCTCAGCTGTTGTTCCTCGGCTCTGAGGCCTGCCAGAGTCCAAGTCTGGACATCTTTCACAGGTATTGCAAGACCTTCCTATTTAGGCAGGTGGTTAGCACACAAAGCTACAATGAGACATTGGTTGGGGGGAAGGGAGGCCCTCTGTTTTATATCAATATTCTAGTTCCTTTTAAGTTTTGTTCTTGTTGCTTTCCTGTTTTAGAAGTTATTCTGTTCTCTTATGTTAAGCAGCTCTGAGCCCTTGCTGGGAAAGGTAGCATATAAAATCAAATAAATAAATAAATAAATAAATGGTGAAAAGTTTCCTTCAACAATGTAGTCATAGTAGTTTGGCCCTGTGTTGGAAACAGGAGTTTGGTGTCAGTCAGTCACAACTTGAGGCCAGGACACCCTGTGGCTGCAGCAAGTATCCTTCCTTTCCCCTATGGTTCCTTTGCATTTCTTGCAGGGGTTTTTTTAGTCCACTAATTCACATTTGTATTGATCTAGGTCCTGTTCATTCTCCTGCACCAGTGCTGTAGTATGCTCATCAAATGGCCCTAGCATGAGTTTAGATGTTGTGGAGGACCTTGCACTGACCTTCCATAATGCAGATGAATTTTACCATAAAAATAAGGAAAGGCTTAATAAGTGTAAGCTGATTGATTTGGCTGCAGAAGAATGCAGAATGCACCAGACTGTAACCCAAGAAAAGATAAAACTCTCACCTCAAGGTAGTATTACTCCTACAGTCTCAAGGAAACTCCTCCAGGATCCAATTTCAAGTTTGAATAAAACATGTGCCCTTACACGGTTGTAACTATAACGTGTGCTTATGCTGTCCGATTACCTGCCCATAAACTCTGCTGAGAAGAGCAGAGATGAAAGGCAGAGCTTACTGGGCCATGTGTAGGGCTTCACTACAGCAATCATGCTACATCTGGTTTTGGAAATGGAGCAAACATGGCACTTCGCAATACAGCTGACACACACATAACCTCATTCCAACATCTGAGATTCCATGCTCTCTAATGGTTATTCTGTAAAGTTTCTTACCGTAATCACTGTAGATAAAACAGCAAATCCAAGTAAAAACTTCACATTTTCCTTTTCAGTTTCCAGTTCTATGCTGGAGCTGTTAGTATAATCATAGTACAACCACCAGAGAACACCTGAAACAACTAGAACAAGTACAGGTGCATAAAGATGCAGGTAATACTTCACAAGAAGCTAAATGTTAACATTAAAGGCAAGTCAGACAGTGCCTACACAGCACATCTTATGGTTCTGTTGCCCTTCCCCTCTTGAATTCAGGTTAAAATGAAGAACGTAGTAGAATGGCATAGAATGGAGAACTTTAGGTTTACAATGTAAAAAATGACATGCTAGTTTGCTATTCTGAATTCAACAATTATGAAGTTTGACTTGTTGCTTTTTGAAAGTGCAACTTTTTGAAGTTACGAAACTTGTTGAAAGAGATAAACCTAACTTTGACTCATTCTTTATACTTTTTCCTGATAAAGTACAAAATGTTACACTTAATTTTCTGGAAACATTAGCATTGCCCATATCCAAATGTCTAGAAACGATTTCTTTAAAAAAAAAAAAAAAAAAAAATCGCACAATGACCCAACATTGTTATTCTATAGCTGGATCTACATTACCAGATCTTTGCACCCATATGGAGGCCAAGGTTCCATCGTGGGTCAGACTGCAGGATCTTGGCTTATTTTAACTTACTAAAGATGCCTGAGAAAGCAGAGGTTTTATGGGTTTTTCTCTTCTCTTTCCTTCTCCCTCTGTCTATATAGTTTCACTGGACTGCAGGAAAAAAAAATTAAGTCAACTATACTTACATAACAATCCAAACACAACCAGCGTAATGAAAATATGGACCAAAAGTGTAGTGATGAATTTGAAGGTTAAAACCATTATCAGAGAGAAAGCTGAAAATAAAAAATAAGACATTCATGCTAACTTAGCAGCAAACTGATTTTTTTAAATTTCAAATGATCTATACTTATTCATATTAGCTTACTATTTAAATTTTGTAAACTTTGGAATCCTGAGATTATAAAAAAAATTCTACTGCATTAATCAAACAACAATAAACTAATTAAATTTGGTTATGAGTTAATTTATCTCTATGATTTAATTTGCCATTATTCACATTCCTCATTAGCCTCCTATCTCTCTTTCTGCCCCCAATTATTAGCTTCTGATAATTGGTCACCACTGGATAATCCACTATGCATTCCATTTTGAGTGGTGAATTAACTAGGACTTACTATAGTTTCCAGGATTTGAATGCTATGGAATTGCATCATTCTCTCCCCACTTCCATCCCTTTAACAACATGCCTCAAGCTAGGATACATTTTGCTTTTATGACAATTTTATCAATAGTTTCTAATAGAACCAGATAAAAATAAGTAAATGATGCAGAATGAGACACATGTCCGCACAGTTCTCGAGAAATATATTTAACCGGTACGCTAAGGGCGCATCCCCACAAGCGTGCATGTGTGGTTTGCAGTGCCACAAACCCTTTTGCGGCACTGCAAACAACATGTGGTGCACATGTTCACTGCACTACTAATTAGCAGTCTGGTGTTTTTGACACCAGGAGATCCTGGTGTAAAAAAAAAAAAACAAACACAAAAAGAAACTGCAGCAACAAGTGGCATGGTACACACAGCAGCAGCGTGTGCTGCCAGAAAGGAAGCCAGGCCAGCCAGAGCCATGCTCTGCCTACCAGCCAGCCACCAAGTAGCCGGATTGCCCCTGCTGCTGCACCCGGAGGCTCAGGACCCTAAGTAAAGCTGCTGGGGCCTCTCCTATCCCAGCCGGGGCAATCTGCCACAGTGCGCGTACAGGGTTGCACCTCAGGACAAATAGCAGTGGCACAAATATATGTGCCACTGCTATTTGTCCCCTGAGAACTCCACATTTCCACTCATAGGAACGTACCCTAAATGCTTTACAAAGGCAAACAGCAATTCTCTTCCTTTAACAAAGAAAACTTGTCTGTGCAGCAAATATAAAATCTTTTTTTAATTTTTTTAATGAAGTTGCTACTCCACAATGCTTTGAAATATGATATTTTAATATTTTTTAATTTAACATATTGAAATAAACCTATTTTTCATATTGTTACCTAGTGCAAGGACACACAGTCCTATTATAATATCTCTTCCTGCCATTATTCCACTAAGAATGTGATGAAAAATGTCCACTCCGTTGATTACATTTATCAAGACAGATGCAAACTGTGAATAGCATTCAGGGTTTTGTGGAACACATCGATTAAACAATGGGAAGGATTTGCTGAAAGATGAAAGAGAGAAACAAAGTAAGGGATTCTCCACTGAGAGGTCAATTCCACAGCCCAACACAAGGATAATTCCCCATCAACCCCCTGTTAAAATGTAACATTATATTTTTAATATAAATTAAATAAACATTGTTATAATTCCTTTCTATGACCTAAATGCAGAAAAAAAGAATGTAAGCAGCTTTTGTTTGTGGCAAGTTTGCACTATTAGTCTGAATTTTAGGTTTATTGCCCCAAAGCATGTTCCAAGATTTAAACCAAAACACACAGAAACCATTTCACCCACTTAGTGACCTACAGCCACCTTTGGAGTAAAATTAAGCAGCAGGTCCCCAGACAACAGCAAAGTGCACACAGTTTAGAACAGAAAGGGTGCATCTATGCAAGATGCTTACTGCAAGGTTGCTTAATTAGCTCTCCAGTAAATGTCTCAGCATCTACATGTGCAGTGCTATTAGGACAGAGTAAACTAACTCCTCCTTAGGTTAGTACTTGTAAAGACAAGTTCTATCCTACAGCAGAGTTTTTTTACTCCGCAGCAACTCACATGTAGGCGCTGACGTGGCTGGTTGGGGCACGAGGGTGCTTCAGCACTGGGGCTGCCTGCCAGCTAGCCCCAAACTGGAGCACCCTCATGCCCCAGCCAGCCCCTCCGCAACACACTGACCCAAGTTGGAGCAGCCCTGGACTGGCAGGCTGACTGCTGTGCCCTCTGCCAGTCAGGGCTGCTCTGACCCAGCTCAGTGTGCTGCGGTCCTGGGAGCATACACAAACATGGAGCCCAGTAGCAATAAACTCTGGCATGACATGAGCTGTAGTTTATTGCTGCACATTAATTACACATGTAGACATGCCCAAAATTATTCTCTTTGTATCTGATCAAAACTGCAGGAGAGACTTATATAGGTATAGCATATGCAGCCAAGCTGGAATTTGACTAGATCATTGTGACCATCACTCTTACTCTCAGGAAAGGAACCATGAAAGCCTGAATGACCACAAATGGTCAGGATGTTGGATTTTATTTTTCATTGGAAAATGTGGTTCTAATAACATAGTGACATTGACACTGTGTTAGGACACTTCTTTTCAGGTAGTACCGAGTCAAAACACCACTTACTGAATTACCTGGGACACTCTCTGTAGCACCTAAAATTTAATTCGTGGTCTTTTATTCAAATACCATCCTGTCTTGTTTTGCTTTATTTACAAGGACAGGTAGAATCAAAACAATAGTTGGTTTGGCTGTAGACTATACAAGTATTATTATTAGTAGACATTTCTAATTCACACGAATTTATGTTTAGTATACTGAAACATTTTTAATAATCTGTTGTGATCAGATTTACAAGGTGCTCAATAGAATTACCCAATCAAATACTTGCGTATAAAAACATATTATTTGGTAACATTAGCCAAGTGTCTTAACTGACTGCTTTTGGCACTGCCACACGCAGTCAACAGGAAGGTTTTCAGATTGCAAACAAACTCTAATTTCTATTTTAAAAAGTCAGACTAATCAATCAGTACAGCATGTCTCTAATATGTAAACAACTGAATTAGGAAAACTGCTTTGACTACTTTTGCTTTTACTGTGAAATCTCTTGTATGTAATAAAACTTACTTTTGGAACATTCATTAATACAGAAAGAAAATAAGAATGATCAACAATGCAAATGTAATATCTGCTATTTGCAATCCATGTTACATAACAGTCATGCACTGTCCATAGGCCATTTTTTTTTTTTTCCACACAACTTCCAAGTACTCGCTTTTGTGCAATGAAGCAGCTACATAGCTTTGTAAACATCAAATGTCCAATTCTGCCTTCAAGGGGCAATGAGATTAAAAGCAAGCATGTACTTAAGCTTCCTACTGAGCTGGTTCCTCAGCCCAAGGAACAGGAGAACAGCGTGTTTTTGCACATGCATGAGCGCACACACAAATTCATAAGCATAAATTAATTCCCCTTGTACTCGGCCTTGGTGAGGCCACAGCTGGAGTACTGCATCCAGTTTTGGGTTCCACAATTCAAAAAGGATGTGGAGAAGCTTGAGAGAGTCCAGAGAAGAGCCACACGCATGATCAGAGGTCAGGGAAGCAGACCCTACGATGACAGGCTGAGAGCCCTGGGGCTCTTTAGCCTGGAAAAGCGCAGGCTCAGGGGTGATCTGACAGCCACCTATAAGTTTATCAGGGGTGACCACCAGTATCTGGGGGAGCGTTTGTTCACCAGAGCGCCCCAAGGGATGACGACTAGGTCGAACGGTCATAAACTACTACAAGACTGTTTCAGACTGGACACAAGGAAGAATTTCTTTACTGTCCGAGCCCCCAAGGTCTGGAACAGCCTGCCACCGGAGGTGGTTCAAGCGCCTACATTGAACACCTTCAAGAGCAAACTGGATGCTTATCTTGCTGGGACCCTATGACCCCAGCTGACTTCCTGCCCTATGGGCAGGGGGCTGGACTCGATGATCTTCAGAGGTCCCTTCCAGCCCTAATGTCTATGAAATCTATGAATAAATCCAAGAATATTAAATAAAGTAAAATAATACTGGTACGTATTAGGTCAAATACAAAATGTGAAGGACTTTCAGTCTTTGAAACAATTGCCTTTCTATAGAGGGGGCTATAAAATAAACAGTATTTCTTACCTTGGTGGAACTGGTAGTGTGGGGCACAGCTCAGCTGCTTTTGGATTTAGTGTATAACTGGAAACATTCAAGTTATAAACACAAAGGCAAGAATCTAAGAGAACAAAATTCCCAAGGCTGATTACTCATTATTGGTCAAAATCTGTTTCTCACAAAAACAATATTTAAAATATATAAATAATATTAGTGCTTAAGATGCTGCTGAAATTAATCACTAGTTTAACATTCTTGTGCAATGCAGTATGCTTTAGTCAGCACATTTAAATGTGTTTAAATTTGTATGTTTTAACAAATATATCAAATACAATGCTAGCCATACTAAGATACAGTTTTAGACCTTAAAACATTCTCCCAGGACAGTTTAAATATTTGGTTGGAGTTTTAGGTACATAATCTGGTCATGCTGAGGTGTTTAAACAGGAACAAAGGCATAAGCAGCTCATTATGTAACATAGCAAAATGTCATAATGAAAAAATATGCCAAAATAAGGTTAACCTCCCCAAACTCTAAGCAGCCATTTTTGTTAACCAAAACAGAAAAACTGAAAAGAACAAACCTCAGAAACCAGCAACTGCCTGCCAAATGCCTACCACTCTATTCAGCATGAAGGATTGGCCAGTCTGCTGGATTTGTTTTATAATAAAAGAACTAATTCAGAATCAGAGCTTCCCTGCCTCATGCCCACAGAACTCCACTTCTGGGCTCCATCCCACCCCTCCAAATGCTGTGGACTAGCATATAAATGGTTTCTCATTTGTACCTACTACTGTTCTCTAATCAGCATTTCAAAGTTCTCACATCTTTGCCTTCTTTACACTGGATGACAGGCTGGTATTTCTATGTCTCAGTGTTATGTTTACACTGCAGACTGCAGGGCAAAGTACAGATCCCCAAGCTAGCTGTATATGAGCCAGTGAAGGTATTAGGAACAATCCAACTTATGTAGCATGAAATTCAGTGTGGGCTTCATGAGCTTAGCTGCTTTCTGCAGTTAGGCAGCTTTCAGTACCCAAACTAGCTCAGGTATTTCTACACTATGCTCCCAATTGCAGTGCACACCTATATCAGTTGCAAAAATACATAACAGAGGTATTAGATTCAGTTTCCTACATTTATATTCTGAAAAGGAGTACAACTGTTGCCACTGCTTCTTTACAATTGCTACTTGTCATAACATCCTAATTTAGAATATCAAAATAAAATCAAACACTTTATCACAAACTTCGGCCTCTGAAAACTAGGCCCATTATGTCTGATGTGGGACAAGAGAGACAAGTGATCACATTTCTGCTAAATGCATCTTTTAAACAGGACATGAACTAGAAAATATGTTTTCAGTTTATTGATTGAACAAAGAAATTAATAGTAAGGAAGCAAACACTGAGCATAACATTTCAAACTGGTGTATATTTCCAAGACGAAAACTTCTTAATTCTTTACTACATACCATTGTTCTTTGCAAAAAGTTGGATGTCTTCCAAAGAGTTAAGTTGCTCTTGTGGACAGCTAGACACACACAAGGCAACTGAATTGATTTTAAGATCTTTGATTTCCAGATTGCAGGAATTCAAAAAGAACACGAATCTATGAAGGATAGAAAGTAGTCTCTTTGAAAAGCACTTTCTATGTTTCACATATTATACTTGTGAACTTCCTTGCTATTTCTAAAAACAGTACAATACATAGCAATTGGCAATATGTTTTGAAACGAAAAGTGAAGGAGTTATGCTAAAACAACCAACTTTCCATACTACAGGCTGTTTTAATCTCAACTCAGATTGCAGAGCCCAAAACTTGCAGTTATTTCAATGGGAAACCCTTATGCTTCGGTAGAACACTGCATGCGAATCCAATGGCCAATCAGCAACATAACTATTTACAATAGCTTCTAAGACTCATATTCTCTCTCTCGCACTTTTTAGTTCCACCTCTTACTCATATCTTTTAGTATAAAAGCACCCAAATAAAATGTGTGCCTGAGGCTTCCTGTACACATTACAATCTTCCATGATTAATACATTAATTGTGGCATAAATGGCAAGGGCACTAAACATACACTAAATGCAAGGCACCATAAAGTGGCAAGCCATTCATACAAATCTTCTACATATGACATGGAACATTTTTATGGCTGGTTTGTATGGTATCTTAAATTGAACATACAGCAGGGCCAGAGCCAACAATCTGTTTGTTCCAGCCCCAGATCTACAGGCATTCAGCTTTCATCTTGCTGGTGCAGAGAGAGCCCGGGAACATGATCGTGAGCTCCCCTTGCACTAGCAAGTAGAAAGAATGTGACCGGGATTTGATCTCCAATCCCAAAATTGCACCTCTTGCCATGCATGTATGGCAGGAGGTATGATCGTTAGGACTGGGGTTCAGATCTCATGGCATCTTCAAATGAACATGTGCCAGAGGCCCAACAGACCTGAGTTTAATTCCTATAGATCACGTATCACATCTACAATGACCAAATCTCAAGCATTTACTTCATTTAAATTCTTTGATGTACTTACTTTTTACTTGTCATATCCTGTCCAGAAAGGGGTGCCCCTTCAATAGGGATGTTCTTCCTGCCACATATATTCCCATAGCTATCATATCCAAATACAAGTCTTTCTGCAGCTCCAGCCGTCACAGCATAGCCAGTTATAAACGTCTATTAAAACAAATATCCTTCTTTCTTTTGAAATCATATACCATGCTTTTCCCACCATTAAGTGAATATCTGCTGTTTAACCGCGTATTTCTGCCCTGTTCTTAAAACAAGTATAACATGTAAAGGTATCCTGTCATGAATATCCCATGCTAAAAATCACTCCTCTGCAGAAAGGCAGAACAAGCTCTATTGACCACATGAGCCATAATGTCAGCTGCTTGTAGAGCTGAGCTCTTCCATCAGTGATTGCTGTTAGAAAGCATGTAATTAATAAGCAAGAGAATTTCAAGAGAAGGGAGGTAGCATAGTTAAGAAACCTGAATGGCACCCTTATGAACTTGCCTTCTAACCCTGCCACAGGTGGTGCCTATCCTATACTAAGAGAGTGTTCACAGCTGCACACCAATTGCATGTCCTTCATTTTCTTGGTGCCCAATATGACACACCTGGGCCAGAAATGATGAGCACTCACTGCTCCAACACAAAATGTTATAGAAATAAGACACTCAAATATAAAAATCAGTTTCCATGTGTCTTAAATTGGGCACCCAACATTTATGAATACCTGACAATTCTGGCCTTGATTTCTTTGCGTCTCAGTTCCTGTAATATAAGATACAGGTGATAACGCCACCAAATCTCAGAGGTTTTTATGAAATAAATTCATGAATGCTTGTGGACTAGACTCATAAAGGGGACTTTTAAGTTTCATGAGTTTTGAGTTACAGCATCCTTTAGGTGCCCTGCCACTTCCTGGAATCCACAACATTCAAATTAGGCACCCATTTTCCATATGCACACAAGGCATGTTAAACACCTCTGAAAATGGCAAAAAAGTATCAGCAGGCTAAGAAGCCAGTTGCACTGACACTCCGAATCCTGGCATTTCCTATTTCTTGAATATTTGATTTTATAACATTAGCATGCTTTTGAAGTAGACGTTTTGATGATTCACAATAAGTGCAAAACTGAACCTCATCATGTGCATTTCTTCTGTCACAAGAGTATTCTCATTTGTGCTGCAACACTTGCAGTCTAGTTACTTAAATCACATGACCTTGTTGTTTTAATATGAAGGTCCTGATAGTGACACCCTAGTTAAAGTTACTGTTATGTGCGTATGAGGTCTTTTTACAATAGCAAAATATTTTTCTTACCTAGTGTATTTATGCAGGACACATGCTTTCAAGCAACAAATGACTTTTAGAAGCAAAGGGAGCAGCAGCTGCCTTTTGTAATTCTACTTCTAGCTGTACTTACAATGAAAAATTGTTTCAAGCCAGATACAGGTGGGACCCACAAGTCCAGCAAAACTTTACTTGCCAGCCTGGCCCACTTTACCTTCACATGAACTGGAAACTAAAGCACCCAGAATGCTGGATGTAAGCCACAAACAGTGTTAATGAATGGGTGGCTGCAAACATTAAGTAACTATCAGTGGGTGTATCAACATGTACGTGCCAATTACATATACTTCCAGATATGCACTGACTTTGTTTCAGATTATTTCACTGTGTGAACAAACAGCACTGGTAGTCACCATAAATTAATTTTTTTTTAAAGACAAAAAAGAAAATAATACAAATGTGAAAAATGTGAGTAATAAATCATCTCACTAAGACTGAACAATAACAACAGTGAAAGGAAAGAAAGAGATCACTGGATATCATCACTGTTTGACGTGTTTGAATTGTTTAACATTCTCTGTATCTGTCAGTGCATTAAACAATGTGCGATAAAAAGGTAATTCTACTTACCAAGTCAGTTTGATTTATCAGGAGTGCAGGAGACTTATGTTGGGTCTTTTGCATTAATTGCAATTTAAGACCATATTACAAAATATCATTCAAAATTGATTAATTACATGTCACGTATCATGAGACTTAGTAACTGTAGCCCCATTGTACTAAATTATAAACATATTTGATAAAAACAAAGTCCCAACTCCAAAGGGCTTAGAGAGAGACAGCAGAGAAAGAGAGAAAGACAAAGGGAGCCCAACTAATGATGAGACATTTAAGAGTATTAAGTAGTGATCTCACTGAACAAAGGTTAAGACTTCTCAGCTACAAAAAAGGTAAACCAATTAGATTCTGATCTTGCAACTGAATCCATACAATGAGACCTTTTCCTTGGTGTGGCTCTACGTTACATTCATGGCAGCTCCATACAGGCATAAAAGTCACCCCATCCCAATGTAAGACAGGCAGGGGTGGATCCAGAGGTGGTGCAGTGGTATGGACACACTCCCCTTTCACTGAGTGAAACAGCAACTGGGGACTTTTTTTTAAGTCTCCAAAGCAAGCAAGTATTCCACCCCTGCCCCCTTCACCACCATGTTTAGTGGTATTCCCATCTTCTTCCTACCCCTCCCCTGCCCATCACTGCCACTGTTCCTGGGGTGAGGGAAGGCTCCAGAGCCACTTCTGTCTGCTTTAGCGGGGCTCTGCAGGGAGCTGGACTCAGTTGGGTACAGCAGCAGTGACAGGCAAGTTTCCCCAGGTGGTCTCTGCCAGCCCGGGAGTAGGCATGGTCCAGCAACTGCTACCACAACCACCATCACTGCTGCCATCTCTGCCCAACCCTGGCTCCATGTGCAGCCCAGCTGGAGTGGTGTAGGAGTGGTGATGGAGCCACCCCCGCCCTACACCACCTCCAAATCAGCTGGGGACAGTGGAGAGAGGAGCAGCAGCAGTGGGTGAGGAAGAGGAGGAACAGGGAGGAGGGGACAGGAGGAAAGAGGATGTGCCCCTGGGCGTGGAGGAGAAGATTCTTACTGGATTGAGGAATTTAAAGTCCCTGCTGCTGTAGTCTGCACACCCTGGCGGGGCCACGGGAGGTTGGAAGCATTGCAGGGTAGCCATCCCTGCAGCACTGGTTGCTGCTCCTGCTCCCCCTCCCCCTTTACAAAATCCTGGATCCATCCACAAATATGAAATGAAGTTGCCCACATTTTGATTCAGATTCATTTCAAGGGGTAGGAAACAAGCATCCTAAACTGGATTTCTCTTTCAACAGCTAGCATACCTACCAAACCAGCCCAAAAGAGAAAAAAGAAAATCAACCAGAGCCTGTCTGTGCATTTTCTGTAAATCAGCGGTCTCCATTCTCTACACCCAGAAACCTGAAATTAAAAAAAAAAAAATAGAAGTCAATTTATACCGCACTGCCTCTGACCCATGGAAAGCCCTGAGAAAGCACAGGCAGTCCAAGGGAGGTCCTTGGTCCTGCCCAGGGCAGGGGGTCGGACTTGATGATCTGATCTGGCCCTGGGAGTCGTGCGGCGACCGTGGTTCACCCGCCCCGGGAAACACGGCTGCGAGCGAAGGGTGCTGGTGCTGGTGCTAGGAGCAGCGCGCCCTCGAGGGATTCATGGGATCACCGGCACCGGGGAACCGCCCGCGGACAGCGGCGGCTTGTCCGCAGCACAGCAAGCCCGGGCGCAGCCCGCGGGAAGGCAGCGCGTGCGGGGTGCGGGGTGCGGGCTCCGCGCCGCCCCGCTCCGGGTCGAGGAGGCTCAAGAAACTCCTTCCTCCGCCCCCTCCTGCCGCTGCCCGGGGGCCCCGG